ATTAAAGAAGCTGGACTCCATGAAGAGGAATATAACATCGGGATAGGAGGGGGACTTATCAATAACCTGTGTTATGCGTGTGATACAACCTTGCTTATTGAAAGTGAGGAGAACTTGAAGGACTTGTTTCAGAAGATCAACAAGTACAGCATTCAAAATGGATTGCATCTAAATGTCAAGAAAACAAAGATTCTTACCGCTAGACCAATAAGGAACAGCATGATAGATGGAGAAAAGATTGAAACTGTTAACAACTTCCTCTTACTTGGATCCATATTTAACACTCTTGGTACCAGCAGTCAGGAAATCAGAAGACATACTGCACTAGAAAAGTCAGGACCTTTTCAAATTGTTGAGGGGCAATGATGTCAGTTTGGGGACTAAGGTGCATCTGATTCTGGACATGACCTTTTGGATAATTTACTATGCATTTGAGAGCTGGACAATGAATAAGGATGACAGAAGAATTATTGGTTCCTTTGAAGTATGGTGTTGGAGAAGAGTGCTTAGCATACCATGGACTGCCAAAAGAATAAACAAACCTGTCTTGAAGAAGATGCAGATAGAGTGCTCTTTGGAGGAAAAGACGATGAAGCTTCACCTCACACATAGCGGGCGTGTTGCTAGAAGGGGAAGACCCTCGACCAGGTGGACTGACATGGTGACTGCCGCAATGGGCTTTAATGTGTCGGGAAGTGTGAGGATAGCACAAGATAGGATCCAGGGGTTAGCTCTCTTGTTCATAGGGTCGCGAGGGGTTATGCTTGACTTGATGGCACGTAACAATTGTATTTCAGATGTCCAACTGAGTTTTAAAGTCTAGATCAAGACATAGAGGCCATTTCAGGCCAAACTTCAAGAATTCATCAAATTCATAAAAGAATCCTGAGCACTTGATGACAAATTGTCAAAAGGATAAACAAATGTGTCTTGGAAAAAAAGAGCCACAATCCTCCTTATAAGGAAGATGGTGAGACTTTATCTCACATACTTTGGGCATGTTGTCAAAAGGAGCCAGTCTTGGAAAAGTACATCATGCTTGAGAAAGCAAAGTATGAGAGCAAGAGAAGACGGCTCTCAGTCAGATGGACTGACACAATGACTGTCACAATGGTCCTGAAGCACAGCAGAGAGGACGGCACAGGGTCATGTCCAGTCTCGATCCATCGTGTACAGGGTTACCATGACTCAGACTGAATGTGTACGATCTAACCCCAAGAGTCCTAGGGAAGGTGGGCAAAAGGAAAGGCTAGAAGATCCTTGATGTGGACCTGCCTCGACTCTCAGTCGGTTTCCCTTTGGTAATCGTCCCTGGTCTCTGTCGTCTGCTGTGTTCAATGTGTTGGATGAGATCAGCATTTCCTAAAAAGTGCTGCAGAACAAAATAGGAAATATTGGCTACATTTCATAAACTGTAAGCTTCATCCTTGTATTTTAGTACAATATGTCTTCCTGAACATTAAGGAACATAATTATTAAGGAACACTGAACATAAGTTTGCCAACATTTGTGGGCATTTTTCATTGTGTCTATACATCTACTTCCTAAACAACATGCCTCCAGAAACTCTATGAACTTTGATAAATGTTGATAGTTGTAGAGGGGCTTCAGGCTCCTTGTTCATGGGGTCCCTATGAGTCATGCTTGACTTGAAGGCAATCAACAATAGCAACATATACATCTACATGTATGTGGGTAGAAATACGGAGGGGAGCTCTTTGACCATGTGGTAAGGAATAGCACTGCCAACCCAAAAGGAAGCAGTTCAAGTCCACCAGCTACCCTGTGGAGAAAGATAGGCAGTTTCTTCTCATGCAGTTCAAAGACTCTGAAGACCCACTGGAAAGTTAGCTATGAAACAGTTTCAACTTAATGGCAATGAGAGAAACACAGATGAAGATGTGGGTGAGGAAACCTAGTGGTAGTGCATTAAGTCCTACTGCATTATGTATTGGGTGGCTAACCCAAACGTGGGTGGTTTAAAGTCACCAACAGCTCCATGGGAGGAAGTTCCATTGGAGAAAGTCTTTTCCTGCCAACATCCAGAGCCTGGGAAACATGGTGGAGGTCTGCCATGAGTTGGACTCGATCTGAGGACCCAGGAGTGTTAGTGTTTAAGCACGGCTGCAATCAGGGCTCTCTGGAGAGGCAAGGATGGTTCAACTTTGCTTAACATACTTAGGATATGTTGTCAAAAGAGGCCAGTGCTTGGAAAAAGACATCATGCTGGGTAAAGTGGAGGATCAGGGAAAGCGAGGATGGCCCTCTGTGAGCCGGATGGACACACTGGTTGTAACAATGGACGCAAGTCATGAAGATGGTGCGGGATAGGGCGAGGCTCAGGTCTGGTGCTCCTAGAGTTGTAACTGACTCAGTGACACTAACAACAACAATCAATATGATAGAACTCTTGTTCTGGTTCAAAGTTCTGTGGTTCTAGTAAGGGTGACTAAACTGTGCCTGATTCAGGCCAGAGTCTTTAGAGTCACTTGCTATGCATCTGACAGCTGGACAATAAATAAGGACAGAAGAAAAACTGATGTCTCTGAGTTATGGTGTTACTGAGAAATACTGAATAGCCCATGAATTGCCAAAGAACAGTTATGTCTTGGGAGAAGTGCTACCAGAATGCTTGTTGGAAACCAGGATGGCTAAGCTCTGTCTCACATGCTTTGGGGCATGTTGTTAGGGACAGCTAGTCCTTGGAAAGTGACATCATGCTTGGCAAGGTGGAGGGTCAGCAAAAGAGAGGAAGCCCCTGAACAAGGGGCTTGGCACAGTGCGTGCAGCGGCGGGCTCAAGTGAGTCGGAGATGACGAAGAGGGCACGGGAGAGGGCAGGGTTCAGATCTGCTGTTCATCGAGTCACTACGAGTTGTTCTCAATTTGATGGCACCGAATAACCACAGTGAGGGAGAACAAACCTCAAAATTCCCCTTTTAATGTTGATAGAAACACAACTTGGAAGGCTGTTGTTGCTATTTTTTGGGGTTTTTATCTGAGCAGCTTCAACATTAAGTGATTGAGAGCTTGAAAATTAAAAATAAAGTCACTGAAATTTTTTAGTATCAGCGTTGACTATAAAAGAACTTAATTAACTCTTTGCTATCTCGTAGCACAGTGAAGGGTGGCCTCCTCAGATACCTCCATTGGATTATCCATTATATACTGTATTATTGAGCTCTGAAATCACGGGCCCTTGATTTCAGGGCGTTAGCGTTACTAAGTCCAGAGAAAAGAAATAACACAGTGACGAAATCAAACAGTAATAAGTTATTTCTCACAAATCAATTGTTTGTATTTTATCAAGACATCAGAATCAATGCATTAAGGCAGGAGTTCCAAAAGAATTCTAGATGATTTTTGCTAGATGTTTGAAGACATAGGTATACGCATTATTTTCCTTTCATCAATGCATAATATGGGAAAGAAAGTGATTTCTGAGCCTCTATTTAATCCTGTTACATTTGTTTCATTAGCACCTAAGCAAAACTTACTGCAAATTGAGTGTACTGAGGAGAGAAGTATATGATACAAATTTATGTTCTTACCCAAATCTAACTAGCTAGAGCCTACTAGACTCTGTATTTTTTTAAAGGTCAATCTTCTAAGATATCTTGAAAACTATTAACAGAAATAAATCTGAACACTGGATGCACTTTGTGGTGATGTCATGTCAGTTCATAACTCCTGATACCGAAGTCTCGGTTATGATGCTTGGAGAAGCCCAGGTAGGTTTAAATAGTCCCAACTGTCCACACTCTATACAGAATAAGACATGAATATTCAGCACTTTGCATTAAACAATCATTTCTTTCTGGAAAGAGTATTGGAAAGTATCTCAGGACTCTGGCTTAGTTGTTGTTTTTTTTTTCTCACTTGAGAATAAAGTAGAATTTTGATATGCAAATGACTTCAAATTATCGAAGCTTAACATCCTTTCTTTAATATATGTCATTTCCAGATAAGCATTATTCCATGTGAATAGATGTTCATGCACATGTTTTACAATGGCTATCTTACAGTTAACTGATTCAGTTTTGAACCTTAACATGTATTTATTTGGAGTAGCAGGGTAAAACTTCTACGAGAAAGATCAAATATATCTGGACAGCACCCAGACTTCCCTGAGTATGTGGGTTTCTACTCAGGAGACAAATGAGGTAAGTGGCTAATTGGAGTATGGAAATGAAACACTTCTGCAAATTAAGCGTTCAAAGCCCATTTTTTTTTTCTGCAGAGCACTCATTAACACAGTTTTGAACCCAAAGCTTCCTAGTTCTGCACCAGATTGAACGAAGCCAACTCCTTCTCATGTCAAACTGTTGGGACTCACATTGATACCATCACCTATCAAAGCACTTACTTATTCCTCCCCAGGACAGAGTCACTAATGACATTTAAGTCATGTTGACATTCAAAACACAGCCTGTGCTATCTTGACACACACACACACACACACACACACACACACACACACACCAGAGAAACAGACCTGTTGCTGCTGCTGGATTCCCTCTGACTGTCACCCCACAGGGCAGGTTAGAACTGCCCTGGGGGGATTTCCAAGGCTGATTGATTCCATAGGGAATCAGATTGCCACATCTTTCTCTTTGGCAGAGCACACCCAGAGTCCTCAAACTGTTAACCTTTTTTGGTTGACAGTCTTACTTTTAACCATTCTGCCACCAGGGTTCCTCCTATTATCTCATAGTAAAGTCTCATTTGGCATTACCTTTAACCCACCCACAAAACGACAGAGAACTCAATTCGGTTTCAAATCCAATGTGGCACTATCACATCCTTTCTCTACTCCAGGGCAACCATCCCCCAGCCAACATAGAGGAGCTGTCCAGTGGCTGGGCTGCTCCTAAGTCAAGCATGCAGACTGCAAACTTTTACTTGGGGTATTAAGCCTCCTTCAACTTCTGCAGCGTCTGTAATCCAGCTCTGAACCAGCCCCGAACCATGCATGGCACAGACTGGGAGCGACCACTTTACCTTCCGAAAAATCAATCAGTCCCAGCAAATGAAGCAGCTTCAGAGACGCACATATAATCACAACAATACCCACTGTTTGCAGTCCTTCAGACTCCCACTCGAGAGTCAACATCCTCCAAGGCGCCAGAGCATCCCAGCCTCCGGAACCCTTTGGAACGGAGGGAGTTAATGGGAGAATCCAATCCGAGCAATGTCTGGCTTGGAACAAAGACTTGCAAAGGGGCAAAGTGAGCAGCCGCTGGCGGATGCACGGTGCGAAGCAGAGGAGCCCTCCGGGTGAGGACAGACCTCCGCTGAAGTCCAGCCTCTCATGCTGGGGCTGGCATTTGCCTGGTGGGGCGAGCCCACTCCCCAACACAGCTTTCCGCTCGCTTCTGAACTCTGCCCTGCAGCTGGCGAGAGCCCCTGGACTTCAGAGCTGCGAGAGAAACATCTGGAGGCGAAATGCAGACTTTGCCGTGTCCGTGGGATGAGGGGACACTCCCAGGAAACTTCCCCTGGAGAGCAAAAGGCGCGCGCGCTCACGCCCAGACTGGGCAGGGCTGCCTGCGTGCGCTCTAGGTCGCTGCCTGGGAAGCTTGTAAAAGGCCCCTTTTCCCCACCACAGCTTCTCTCCTCTCTCCCAGAACTGACTCTGGACAACTGCTCAGCGCCCTCTCTGTATGTTCGAAAATACCACAATTCTGCTGGCCGGTGCCTACAGAAATCCCTTGTAGAAGCTCACGAGCAGCTTTGGAGAGGCGAAAAGTGAAGGGGCACACAGCTGCATGATTCAGTGGCTTTATCAACGTTAGCAGCCAAGCCTCCCCCACCAGCTGCTCCCAGCTTATTAGAGAGCTGGATGGGTGATTGACTGAGTCCTTATGTTTTCAAACTTGAGCAAAGAGCGAGGCAAGACAGAACACTAATGTTTAGTTAACTGTCTCCCGGAGCGTGGGGTCCCCACTCGTCCCCGAAAGCCTGGTTTCATATGCTCACCAAGTTGCGCATGCTTCTCTGATGATTAAAAAAAAAAAAAAAATACCCAAGGTGTTTGTTAAGAACACTCTTCTGGAGAGTCTGGTTCAGAGAACACACCCAGGAATTTGTGCTGTCAAACAAGAAGCCCAAATGAGTCTCATCTTCAGGGAGATGTGGGAAGTGCTATCCCAAGATCCCATCAGGAGTCCTCCTTTCTTAACTAGCAGGGAAACCCAGCCTGTGCCAAGATTGATTCAATCGCTCAGATAACAATCACTAACCCCATCAGAGCCCACCCAATGATGGTGTCGAGGAGAATCAGCTGGGGTCCTGATTATGAGAGGGGTTTTGAGTGTTTGAATCTCACCACGCAATATTACAGCTCTTGAAAAATCTCTCAGCTCCCTGTGTATTATAACCAGGCTCTGCTACTTCCTTGCTGTGTGATTTTTCTGCAAGGCACTTAATCTCTCTGAAAATAGGTCCTATTTTGTAAAAAATAAAAAAGGGATAATAACATTTAATTGTGACACAGGACAGAGTAGGGTTCAGAGCTGTTGTACATAGGATCTCTAAGAGTCCCAAGCGACTTGATGACACAACAGCAAAATTCATTTAAATACTCTTCCAGGACTTAAATGTGCTGGTTGTTGTTGTTGTTGTTATGTGCCACCGAGTCGCTTGTGACTCATAGTGACCCTCCGCTCTGTCCTGTGCCAATTGCACTGTCTCTGGTACACCCCAGTCACTGAATCAATCCACCTCATAGAGGGTCTTCCCCTCCTGCGCTGTCCCTCCACCCTACCAAGCATGATGTCCCTCTCCAAGGACCAGTCTCTCCTTACAACATGTCCAGAGTATGTTAGATAGATCCTCAATGTCCTTGCCTCCACGTAGCCACCCAGTTTAACCCTTTCAAGGATGAATCTGTTTGTTTTCTTAGCAGTCCATGGTACCCTCAACACTCTTCTTCAGCACCACAGCTCAAAGGCATCAATTCTGCTTCTATCCTCCTTAGTAATTGTCCAACTCTCTGATGTATAACAAGTGATAGCAAAGACCATGGCCTGTATCAGAAGCATCTTAGTCTCCAGAGAGACACCATTGCTCTTCAGTACTTTGGAGAGCAGACTTTCCCATGGCAATACATTTTTTAATTTCCTGGCTACTGGTGCCGAGAGTGCTGACTATGGAGCCAAGCAAACTAAAGCTGTGAACAATCTCAATCTCTTCACCATCCATAGCTAATATAGTCTAAGCATTTACTAAGAGAGTCTTAACTCAGGGGTGACATTTCTCTGGCCCTAGTTCTCCAGATGGGCTAACTCCTCCTGTGTGATGATTTTCAGGCTCTGAAAATTCACCGGAGGGTCAGTTATGAGTCAGTTCTAAGGGAACAGCAACGCATTTTTTAATTTCAGGAACAAAATTAGAGTGATTGTTGATAATTAACTCATCTCCACAGGTTTCCTTGTAAGAGACTCTGAATGTACTAACCTGGTGAGAAACCTGGGAGACTGACTTATTTATCAAAGCTGTGGCAATAGGGGTGACATTGTGGGGTACAGATCCTGGTGGACATTAGATGTTCATTTAGTTATACATTTATACATTCTAATTAAGATCTATTTTTAAGAAATTATTACGCAGTTGATATGTATTACTCTGGTCTAAGTTGTCCTATTTTTCTCCATGCCTATTTAATCTATATGGAGAACAAATCATTCAAGAAGCTGGACTTTATGGAGAAGAATGTGATATCAGGATCAGAGGAAGACTCATCTGCATCCTAATTTATGCAGATGCTACAACCTTGCTTTCTGAAAGTGAGGAGGAGTTGGAGCATTCGTTACAGATGATCATGGACTACAGCCTTCATGTGCATTGTATCTCAACATCAAGAAAACAAAAATCTTCTCCATTGGATCAATAGATAGTGTCATAAACAATGGAGAAATTTGAAGTTGCCAAGGATTTAATCTTGCTTGGATACACAATCAACCCCCTTAGTATCAGCACCAAGAAACCAAAACACATTATGTTAAGAAACTCTGTTTTCAAGGACATCTGCAAGGTATTAAAGAGCAACAATGTTAGTTTAAAGGCTAAGATATACACACCCGATTCAAGTCATAGACTTACAAGCACTGACTATGTATAAGATCTACTCATGGTGCATAAGAAAGTTGGACAATAAATAAGGATGTCAGAAGAAGAAGCAGCCTTTGATTTGTGCTCAAGAAGAATACAGAATATCCCATGGTCAGGGGAAAGAACAAACAAGTCTTGGAGAAAGTGCTTCCAGATTGCTTCTTACAAGCAAGGACGCAGGAACTGTTTCTTAGATTCTCTGGGCCTATTGCTAGGAGGGATCAGTCCTTGGAAAAGGACATCACTATTAGAAAAGGAGAGGGTCAGTCAATGAAAGAGAGGAAGACCCTCGACAAGCTGGATTGGCACACTGACTGTAAGAATGGGCTTTAACCTATGACAGGTTGAGCACAGGACAGGACAAGGTTCAAATCCACTGTTTATAGACTTCCTATCATTCTCTGTAGACTCAAGGACACCTGGCACCTGGGAACAACAAAACCTGGTGGCACAGCAGATCAAGCATTGGTATGTGAACTGAAAAGCCAGCCATTTGAAGCCACCGTCTTTACTCTATGGGACAAAGATGAACTCATCTGCTTCTGTAGGAGTCTTGGAAATCTTTACTGAGGAGCAGTTCCAGTCTGTCCCGTAAGACTGGCATCTGTGAGAATTACTCAGTAAGGCAGTGAGGTTTTGGTTATTTGTTTGTTTATTGTGATTTAATGGAAGATTTGCAAAACAAATTAGCTTTCCATTTAACCATTCAAATACTTATAAATAAGAACACACCCAAAATACAATGACATTTCTCCCACTCACTCCCTGTAATTCTTATTTCCATTAGTTCTTCTGTGTTCAGGGATTTATCTTAGGCAAACATTTCTTTCCTTTCTCTCTCTCTCTCTCTTTCTTTTTTAAAATCTTATATGGTTGGTTTGTTTTGGAAAGTAACTGCTTGCCTGATATTTTTGGTCCCCTAATATGCCTGTTCTGTTGTACTTGGACCAAAAGGCAGTCGTCAGAACAGAGCAGGGTAACATGGCATGGTTCAAAATTGGGAAGGGTGTACGCCAGGGATGTGTCCTATCCCCATAACTTTTCAACCTGTATGCAGAGCAGATTATCTGAGAGGCTGGGCTCTATGAGGAGAATTGTGGCATCAGGATTGGTGGAAAATCTATTAACAATCTGCGTTATGCAGATGACACAACTCTGCTTGCTGAAACTGAGGAGGACCTCATGCACTTGCTGCGAAGGGTCAAGGACTGCAGCCTTCAGTATGGACTGAGGCTCAATGTCAAGAAGACAAAGATTCTCACCACTGGACCATTTGGTAGCATCAGGATAGATGGCGAAGAGATTGAGAGTGTTCACAGCTTCAGTTTGCTTCGCTTCATTGTCAACACTCTTGGCACCAGTAGCCAGGAAATCAAAAAACATACTGAGATGGGAAAGTCTGCTGTTAGGAACCTCTCTAAAGTACTCAAGAGCAACAGTGTCTCTCTGGAGACTAAGGTGCACCTGATACAGGCCATGGTCTTTGCAATCACTTGTTATGCATCAGAGAGTTGGACAATGACTAGGGAGGATAGAAGGAGAATTGATGCCTTTGAGCTGTGGTGCTGGAGAAGAGTATTGAATGTACCATGGACTGCCAAGAAAACAAACAGATTCATCCTAGAGAGGGTTAAGCCAGGCTACTCCTTGGAGGCAAGGATTCTGGGGCTTCGTCTGACATACTTTGGACATGTTGTAAGGAGTGACAGGTCCTTGGAGAGGGACATCATGCTTGCAGGAGGGGGAAGACCCTCTATGAGGTGGATTGATTCAGTGACTGGGGTAATTGGGATGGGTGTGTCAGAGGCAGTGCGATTGGCACAGGATAGAGCAGGGTTTAGGGCTGTTGTACATAGGGTTGCTATGAGTTGCAAATGACTTGACAGCACATAACAACAACAAGAACAACAACAATAATTTGCCTGTTGGTGTCTCTCTAGAGACTAAGATGCATCTGATACAGGCCATGGTCTTTGCAATCACTTTTTATGCGTCAGAGAATTGGATGATGACTAAGGAGGATAGAAGGAGAATTGATGCCTTTGAGCTTTGGTGCTGGAGAAGAGTATTGAGGGTAGCATGGA